TAATAGTCCAATCGATGGAGGAAGTTAGAGAGATGTCCAAAGTCAGGGACGATTGGTTGTAGTGCGTGGAGATTCCTGTTACCGGCCCCAGGTGTTTTCGAAGACTTCATTTACCAGTGCGCGAACCATGACGACAGTGTGGGGAAGAAGAAAATTAGAAACATTTAAAGTAAAAAAATTATAAAAATACTAAAATATTTCTGTGCATACTGGATGACGACAGCATTATCAAAACTAATTGGGGAACTGTTTCATGACATTGGGGTCTGCGTACCAGAATGAAACCGGTTTTACCACCGATTTACAACCAAGACTGACACCATTAGCAGTATTCCAGAACACTTTCAGAAATATTTTGTGTTGTATCAAGGACAGCTATTTTGGTATTTTTATGCTACAACAACAAAAAGTGAATTAGACTGGTTTACACACGGATTCATTGCGTTCACACGTGCAACTCGAGTCGGATTTCACATTCTCATATAATACTCAAATTCTCATAAACTTCATGTACGGTTTTCTCCAAATAAGTGCTCTGAAAATTATATTAACAAAAATCTTATAGAATTTACTGACAAGAGCAAAGCTTTCATAATTCAAATTTGTCAGCCATTTTCGGGAGAGCTAGAACATGGAATTCTCCATATCTTGAATAAAAGCAAAATCTTAAATCCTTAAAATCTGTAAGATTAGATGCAATAATAAAAATATCATCTTTCTCACCTGAGTAACATAACCATCCTCACTGCCCATCACCAAATTGTTATCTCATTCGCCGGAAATGCCATACAAGTGACTGCAATCGATTTCGACGGACGTTGCTGTTGCAACTCCAAGTGTCCTGTGGATGCGATAAATATCCAAACTCCAAGAGCACAGCTTGCCATCCGAAGAGATAGAGATGACATTGTGAGCATTTTGTGTGCCAACAACCTGCAGACAATAGACTGGATGTGTATGTGCGGCGGCGCTTAGTGGTGTTCGTTGCATGGGTGTGCGTTTTGCACACGATTATCCCAAGCACTATCTGACCCGGTATGTACCGCCTAATATTAAATTGGATTGAATTTAGCAAACATGTTGACATCACAGCGCTTGACAGTGGAAAATATCTTCAGTGTATGCTTCTTGTATTTTGTATTCCACACCATAACAACACCGTCGGGTTCGTTGGGGCTCTCCTCGTTTGTGATACGAGGCGGCTACAATTCAGGAAGTGTGTTGACCAATCCATGCAGGTGATGCAACGATTCTTCGACCAACGTTCGTCGTAGAAAACCCGATTCAATGACAATCGTGCTGTGTTTTTCGTCGTTCGTATCCTCATTGTCGCCGGCGCCAATGTAATCCGTGTAAATGTCAACACTTTCGGAGAGTGCGCGCTCAACGATGCGTCCGGCGCGTAGCATGAAATGTTGGAATTCATCGTAAGTATGATCATCTGCTTTTGCTCCTCAGAGAAGTTCCTTAACTGTAAAGCATTATAAAATATGAAATAACTTTATAGTGCTTTTATAGGCATCTCTACTCACTCTCCTTTTCTCCTCCTGCTCTTTCTTTTGCTCCAGCGGTGTTATGGCCGGTGCTACATCTTTCACCGTTGGCAGACCGTGCGTCAAATAGCCGGGTGGCAACTTCGAAGTGAAACCGTGCTCCAGATGTGGTAGAGAATCTCTTCGTCATCTCCTTGGGCATCAAATGCAAGCACTGTTAATGTACAAAACTAACACGCTAGAGAACATGACAATCGACAAACAGGAACAATTCTACTTTCTTGCTTATTTGTAGCACAATTCTTTATTGGCTTTGTTTCGTTTCATTTCTTTTAGACGCGCCTTATTTGTTATATGCAAAAGATTTAGTGCGTTTAAGTTTTCTCACTTTCAAATTGATATATATGTATACAATTGGCTTTTCTGCACAGCATGAATTTTAGTGTTTTTTGGTTTTACAATTTTGCAAGTAATTTTGCTGATTTTGCTTGACTGTGTGTAGAAAATAGCAATTTGGTGCGCATTGTAGTTTGTGTTATAGACATACATATTATATTACATAAGTGATTAGATTATTTACATTTATTCCTCAATTCTATTTTATTTGAAATACTGAAACGCTGTGTTATTTGAGTAGTGGCATGACCTCAACATATTTTCTTCGAACTATTTAGAACTATAGTATCGCCTTGCAATAATGGTGAATGGAAGTTAAAAAAATTATATATTTTGAAATATGGCAAGAAAGTGCTTACTAAAAAAGGAAATCATAAAAAATTCAAAAATTTGTATTTGGAATGTTGAGACATTTTAAATGATGTTATACTTTATACTTTCGCCGGTGTAGAAGTATTTTTAAAATATATATGAGATTATTTTTCTAACCTCCAAAAGTGTGCATTGAATAGTCATTTCTGTATATATTAAGACTTGTAATACGCTCTAAATTTTTGTTTGTAGTTACACAAAATTATTTGACTTGATTTTATGTGAAACAGAGTCATGTTATTGTTATTAAAAATTAAAATAATTTTATTACGAATCAAATTACAATGCAATTATTAGAAAAATATAGCGAATTAAAATATACATAATTGACTTTTTGTTTTTAATTGGTCGATGAAGTAGCTGTCGAATTGTCGAATACCAGAGTGAATTTGGATAACGAATATGAATTGAACTATGACATAGTAAAATTTTAATTTATGGTGCTTCTGGTGGAAAAACTAAAGTTCTAAGCGAAAGCTGATTTGCAGCTAAATTTATAAGTATATCCAAATTGTCTAACTTTATTCAATATTTTTAAAATGCTTAGAAAATGTCTTAACTGATGAAGGAGTTGGGGAGCAATAAAATGCATATTAGGTTCGGTGAAAATCATAAGTGTAATCATGCTAATGAGCAACGGAAGTTTTAAAATACATATATTCGAAGATTGCAAGTGATTGATACATGCAGGACTAATAGAACAAAAATTTTCTATAATGAGTGGAACTTAATGCAAAGTAGTAGCTGAGTGTTGACTGCAAGAAAATAAAACGGAATTTACGTTTTAAGTGGAGGTGTCGGCAACCGGATTTCAATTTAGAACTCTCAAAAATGTAAGTATTTAAATTGAAGAATGATATAAACTCCATATTCATTAAGAATATAAGTAATATTCGCTTCCTTTCTATAAAACGAATTCAAAAGATTATTAAAATTTCAATAAGTTATAACCTCAAAATCACTTGTCAAAACCTAAATACATTAAAATATGCTTGAAAAACACACAAGAATGATGCATCATAGCGGTATTTTCGAAAGTGGTTTACAAATTTTCTGGAAACATAGAAAACTATTAAAGTACTAACCATTTAGCGAAAATATATTTCTTTCATTCGAAATACGATGGGCATTGAGATTACTTTTGAATTATTTGATAGTTTTGTGATTTATACGAAATAATTTAAGTTCAGTAAATCATAACATAAAAAAGAACTAGAAAGAATATTTGGACAAATTATTTAATATGATTTAAGTACTTAACTCTGTCTATCGCTATTTGATTTATATATTTGTTTTCGATTCGTCACTTTTTAAGTTTATATACATTTATATATAGTATGATTCATATCATTAAAATTAAAGAAAATTCTATTAATTAATTTATATTTTTAGTCAACTAGCAAAATGATTAATTTTCTTGAGTTTTAATATTTTTCTAGAATATGCAGCAATATTTGCATTTATTGTAATCAGAATTCCTTTGTCGGCATAAAATGATGTTGATGGCGGGCAGACGGCTTAGCGTGCAAGGTGAGTGAAAAATATAAACAGAAAAATATATAAAGCTGTTAAAGGTAATATTGTACATATGTATGTATGTATGTATGTTATAAGTGAGGCCAATGAATGGTAAACGTCACAGAACAAAAAAAAAATATGTAAAACTTGGTGCATACACTTCCATATATTACATACATATAACATATAAAAATTTTATAAGAAATTATTTATTTTTCAATATTTTAAAAATATTTATTTCTTTTTCTTTTATTTTTTAAATAGTTTTTATTTTCTTTTATAAATATTTTTTTCATTAAACAAGTTTTACCTTAAAAATTTTTTCTTCAATTAAAAATTAAAATATTTTTTCTATAATTTTTAATATTTATTTTTCGTCAATTCTATATGAAGCTCGAATGTTACACCCTATAATAATAAAACACCAATTTTTAAATAATTAAATTTGGTAAAACTCAATTAAATGCTATAAAACGGTATTTCTTCAAATTATTTGTGTTATTTTGTAACAAGTGTTAGGTGTTACCACTGTGTGCTGAGGTGTAAGTTGTAGTAATCTGCGCAAAATGCTTTGATTAGATACACTGTACATAATATTATTATGATTTTGTGTTGTAAATATTACATAAACAATTTTACTTAATACATACAATATAAAATATATTTAAAATTATCGGATGTTTACACTTCTAATTTTTGCTGTGAAATGTAAAGAAAAACTCTGCGCAGCAAAGCTTTGCTGTTTGTATGTGTTTGTTGTTAAATATAATATAATGTACACAAGAGCCAATTAGACATATGTAATTGTAATAGCGTGTATAAATTAAAGAAATATTTTTCATTATAATATTTAAAATATAATTATTTTCTTATCATATTCACGTTTCTCCACCCAATTTATATTTCAAATATCTGTATACAACCTAAATAAAAGATTTTGAAATGCCATTTTTTGTTTTAAATATATGTAGTATATAGTGATGTATATTCAAAAAATGCAGTGCATTACCTAAAACGGATATTTAAAGTGGAAGAGAGACCAAATAAAGCGTCTGATGAAGGAAAATATTTGTATATTTGTTTTGAATTCACTTTGCTTTACAACGTTTGAGGCATGTGGGTGTGAAAAGCACGATGAATGGCCAAAGATATAGATTGTGGTTATTTATTAAATTATGTCTGTTAAAAGCGTGAGCGTATTTGCGTTTGTATAGACAAATCACCAGATGAAAAAGTTTTTTTAAGTATTTAAAACAAAAAGTTGTTTTAGGTATTTTTAGTGAAAAATTTTGTCATAAATATCTGCGCGAAACTGACTAAAATTGCATTGTTCACAACACAACTATTTTACAAACAGTTATAATTTTAATAATAAATATGAAATATAGGAAATATTTATTTCTTTATATTCTTGGATTTATGTATAAAAAATGTCTCATAAATATTTTTATAAATAGAAAAAATGTATTCCGGCAAAAAATATTGACCTCTTCACGTTAATTTTCATATATTTCGCGAAATTATTATGAAAAATATTGGAATTATACATTTTTGACATAAACTAAAAATGTAGAGAAATTGGAATTTGTTTTCATACTAAGACAGCAATTTGCTTAATAAAAATATGTTTTCACATATAACAATAAAGAACTATGCTTGTGTTATGCAAAAAACAAAAGACTTAAAAACCAAACCTGATCCATTAACTAAAAAAATGTGTTTATTAATAATTAAAAAATATAATTAATTTTTTTTTATTATTTGATTAAAAAGGTACAATGCCATTTTTTGTATTAATTAACTAAAAAAGTTTAAACTTTTTTTATTTGGTTAATTAAAAAAATGTAATTAAAATTTTTTGTATATTAATTTTTATTTATTAATCTTTTTTTTAATTATATTATTAATAAAAAATTAAAATGAATAAGAGAACAAACTTCTTCAATTTTGGACTGTTACATTTATTTATTTGAATAAAAAAATATTCGATATTTCTCAATTTGTGGAGTAAAAAATTACACTCTGAAAGTTTTTTAAAGCATATCTCTATTTAAACAAAAAAAAAATGTTTCTTAAAAAATATATTTTATAAAAAAAGTATACTTCTTTATTTTATATTTTTTTTGAGGAAAAATAGTTCTTTATGAAAAAACTTACTATATTTTCTTTAAAACAGTTTATTAACAATAATAGCCTAAAAAAAAAACTATATACCATAGTATTAATATTAATTATGAACCTCATTCTATAAATTTTAAGACCGAATTAATTGTTTTCATTATAATAAATTTGTTTATACAAAACTATTCATGCATGCGCGTTACATAACTATTTAGTGAGCTCTCAAATCCTAATAAATGTTTTAAAATTTTTGTATTGAAAAATAAAAATTTTATACCTATTTTTCCTTTAAGGTTTTAGATTAAATTTTCCATTTCTTTGTTAAGTATATTCGTAAGTATTAATGTTAAAATGCGAGTGTGTAGTGACTGCATGAAGAATATACATATTAATGACAAAGAGTATTTTCGGCGTTAATGATTCATATACAGGATGCATTTGGTGGTTTGGGGACAAAACGAGGGGAGAGCGAGGCGTAAAAGGAATTTTAGTTTGCACATTTATACATAATTGTTTCTCAGAAGCAGTTAAGATGTGTTAAGGCGACTAAATAGTTTCTTTAGTTTTTTAATTGCGTTTTAAATTATATAATCTTTCTTCAACTCGCAATTCAGCAGCTGCCTAAAGCCAATACTTAAATCTTATAAAACAAAACTTATTACTTATTTTAATAACGGACTTAATAAATTTTTGCCATTTAAATGCTTAGTTTGCATTATGCTAAAACTTTAATTTGCTTCATTCGGTTTTTTTTAGTTTTTCAAATTGAATTTTAGTTTTTTGTAGAAAATTTGTCACGTTCCTATTTTGCTTCATGTCGATCCGCTACTGTTATAAAATATTGGAGCAGATGTTACCTACCTGTGAATTCATCCTCCCACTCTAAACCCGGATTTAGATTGTATTCGTCTTGAAAAATATACAGAATAAAGATGATTGAAGTAAATTTTTGATATTTTTCGCAAGATTTTTTGTTTAAAGTTTTTGTTTTTTTTTTAGGTAACAAAAAAAATCATTATGTCGGGATGCAAATTAAGTAAACTATGAAATCCCCAAATTCTTAGGAGACATAACTCATACCATATTTTAGTTGTGAAAAATATTTATTTAAATATATTTATATTGCATATAAAGGCATAATACACTGAATTAGATTGTTTGAAGCAAACAGAACGTGTTGATCGTCCGCTAACTAAAAAAATCATAACTAACTTTTACAGTTTAAGAGCGTAGTAATTATTTAACTCATACTCTATATATATATATATTTACGATATTAGCATGCAAGAGATTTTTTTTAAATTTATTATTATGTACACTTGTGATTTAATGCACACAAAAACAATGAGTAATCAACGCCCTTCCAGCAAATGTTAACAATTTTGTTTATAATGAACATATTTGTATGACTGGGTATTCGTGGGGAGCATCGAATTATATAATGAACTAAAAACTAGGCTTGAGGCACAATTGTATGCCAAAATAATATTACAATTTCTATTCCAATATTATTATTGTATATGTAAAAATTACTTTTAAAACTTAATGCATTCTTTTTCCGTTTACTAACTGAAAAGTTACTTACAAAATTCAATTCAATATTTACTAAGCTACTTTTTTTCAACTTATAAACAACGAATATTTTGTCGATTTACCAAATCGAAATCATAAAATGGGTGGAGAAAAAAAGTATAATGTGAATCGATTATACAGGCGAAAACTTAAAAATACGTACGTTTTAATGGGTTAAGATGACCCACGTGAACTATCAATTTTTGCACAAAAAAGAGTAAAAAAACGAAACAAAAAATATTTAGCTACAACTACTGCTTAGTTATTCACTTGAAAGGGAAAAATCGTTTATTTAAAAGAAAGTATATAACTGCATAAAATTTTATAATTATAGATAGATATGTACTGAGTAAAATACAAAATTATAATCATGACTATACACGCGCAGAGACACATTCAGAGTTCGTGCACACTTGTAGATATATACATGATATATGTTATAAATATTTCTTTATAAAAGTTATTTAGATTACAAAGTAAGTAAACAAAACTCACCGTAATAATCCGTAGCATGAGCTAGAATCGAAATGAATAAAAAAATAAGATACGACACATTATTAGATAAGTGTTTTTAAAATGCCGCAGATTATATTAAATTAAAAAAAAAAAAATTATAAATAAAGAATATAAAGCAGTTGAAATTATGTTGTAGATTGGCAAAGAATATTGACATAACAACTAAACAAGAAGGGTAAAGAAAAACTTGTAAATACAAAAAAGTGCTAAATGGCTGCGCAAGTGCACATAATTTGAAGTGAATAGCCAAATGCGTGTGACAAATAAAATTACAAAGCAATCTCGAAAATGTATTTTTTTAATAAAATAATTTGGTTTTTTGGTTATTTTTTTCCTTTCAATTTGGAGTTTGCTGAAATAATAAATACCAGTACCTTTGCGTGGTCTCCACCAATCCTCCATGTATCCTGATAGAGGTGAGGAGTGGCAAGAAAGAACTGTATTTGTTATTTTATTTCATTATGATTTTCTTTTTAAGTTCTGCATACAAGTAATTTGTAGGGGTAACTCAATGTTTACGGGTTATATAGCCGAATGAAAATGCATGTGTTTACATATTGATTATATAGCACTGTAATGCGTGACAGTTGAAGCGCATATTGTGTTCTCTATATGTGCTTATTAAATGAGTTTCATAAAAAATTACATGCGTAGAATATATATGTATATTATTACTTAAGTAGGCAAAACATGCACCGATATACATTTACAATTTGTTTATATATGTAATATAATTGTGTATATTATGTAAGAGAATTTCAATATATATTTTTGATAGTGCATGTTGTTCGAAATTCGTGAGAAAATTATGATATGTTTCATAAATAACAAGAGAACATATAACTATATAGAAGTGATATATTTAAGGTGAAGACAATATTTTAGAGGCTGATATGGCAAAATAATAATTTTTTAAATATTATGAAATTTGTAGGATTATGAAAATTCTTATATTTTCGCTTCTACCAAAATATGTGTTATTCCACCATAACATGCCTTATTCAGAGAACTTTAAGCTATTCAACATATTTGAGTAGTAACGAACAAATACTACTGAGTTATGGCTTTCATAATGTGTTTGGGAATACTAATTTTTATAAAAATTTGCATACTTTATGCTAAAAGTTTAAGCAATATATAATATATATCAACTTTTTCGCTTAAATAGTAACATTTAACAACAAAAAGAAACAATAGCAATTACATATTTGTAGTACCCACCATCACGTTCATGTCCACCGGTGCTAGTAGTTTGCGTTTGCTTCGAGTAGACCAGTGTTTCTTTTGGTGGAATGTTGGTGGCTTGTACGTTGTAAACACTCAAATTCAAAGGCTGCTTTTTGCCACCGCTGCATTACAAAAATTATATTATAAACAATATTTATGTTAATTTTTGTCAATTACTTATTATGGATAAGTACTAACCCGACACCATTCATATTTGCTTGTAGACTTGCGTCCGGCGTTTGGGTGTTAGAGTTGTCCGATGTTAGAGAGTTAACGGATGACAAAGAAGATAATACTTCCGAAACGGGCGCAACTCCCAAAGAGGACAGCATTTCATCCAAATCTCTTAACAAAATAAATAACAATACGTTTTTTTTTCGTTACAAAAAATCAATTTTAAGCGTTTAACTTACTTCCTCTGATCCTTGTCAATGCCGATACCACCACCTATGCGGCCAGCCGCTTCTTCCATATCCTTCATCTCTTTTTCACGCCTACGGCGATCTTTCTCCTCTCGTAGGGCGGCCAATTTGGCCTTTTTACGTTCTAGTTCAGCTTTGCGATCCATGCTGCAAGTGGTTGCTTTTGTTGTTTGAGTATAACTGCAATTGTGTATGTTTTTTCGATTTTAACTATATAAATTTAGACATAAAATCGTCAGCAAGGAATATATAAGTGTAATATGTGGTTGTAGAGAATGCCAATAAGTTACTGGTTTGATGATGTCATTTGAAATGCAAATATTTTCTCCATATTAGACTATACAAAATGTATTCATTCTACCCAAACTTTAGTTAGCCAAACGGTAGTTATAAATTTCTTTACACGTAAGCAAATGGAATGATTTTTGGATTTAAATATTTGCTTTTAATAAGTATTTTCACTTCGGACAAGGTTAGATAAATCACCGAATTTCTACGAGTCGTAGAAAATCAATAATACTTTTAATTGCAATTTGCCATTTCTGATTTCTAGATTCATCACACGTAAACATGTCAAATATGCCAACAACTAAATACCTTACTTCGACAGTTGTTATAAATTTATATATATATTTTAGTAATTTAAGTACTTAAATTAACATTTTTCACTAAAATCTTTTCCCGATTTTCTCCATCTGAAAATTACTCACATAAGTGGTGTTACCAGCGTTGAAATAAAATGTTGGAAGTAGGAAGAGGCAAACAAGTCAGTGTTAAGAAACGTCCAACAAAAACTGTCTTCGTCCATCTGCTATGTTCACTTTTAAAAATGTATATGCTAATATATATAAAAATTCTATAATTTTCTGAAAACAATTGTAAAATTGTAGTTGATACGGTGATTATTACCTTAAAAATATAAAAAGTCGGCAGTGTTGTATTGTCAGGTTACCGTAGTTACAATAAATGTTAACACACAGCTATCAGATTATATGGTATTTACGTACCGTGAAAATTATTCGATAGTAACAACTTCTAACTTTCCATTTAAATATAATAGAATAAAAGCATATAATATATAATGTATTAAAATAAAATTAAAAACTTTATTTGTCTGTTTTGCGTTGTTTTTATGATTAAAATTAAATTTTTTTACAAAAATTCCACTCAATATAAATGTGTTTTTTGAGTAGTTACTAAATTCATGATAAAAACCATAAAAAGTTCCTTTGTCATTATATAAATGAATACGGTAATAAAATTTGTTCGCACATTCGGTGAATACCCTCTATTTACAGCTGCTAATAAAGATAGACAACAAACAGGAACGTCAGTCCAAAGGAAACATGGGGAAAAACAAAAGAATATGAGGCATTTTCCAATTGGAGTGTTATTTGTCTTACTGCAATCAAAGCCAACTTCATGCTGATTGGAATGTGGAACGCCCAGTTATGTGGACAACGTTCATACCAAAAGTTGAACGGTTTTGGCCGTATTAGTTGTGTTGACGCCGTCGTGAAAAAACGTTTAGTTGACGCGGTGTTATTGGAAGTTAAGAAAAAAGCAAAAAAGTGGTTAGAGAGCAAAATTAAATAAAAAAATAAGTGTATAAAGAACAAAAAGTACAATATAAACAACGGTTGCGGGCAAAGCTTACAACACATAAAATGTAATTCAGCACAAATCCAAATTAGTAAATTTAAAATATAACGTATATACATACATACTTCCAGAAATATTATATTAAACTTATTTTGAATGCATGGTGATGGTGTGAATTGCAAAACACAATAAGAACAAAATAAGAATTTTTAATTGAATAAAAACTGAGCTCTCGAATTCGTGTGTGTTACACCACGGTAACAACAGGAAAAGCAGTAGCAGTAGCAGTAGCAACCACCGTCGCCATCGTCGACGTCGTACCTTGACGTGCAGCGTTGCGTCGCTGCTGCTAATGTACGGCTGTTTTTACTATATTTGTATATAATGCGGGGGGTAGGATCCATAACTTCCAGCGAGAAGATAGTGAACACGTTTATTGAAGTTTAGAAAAGTACAAAACAATATATTAAACAAGGTTTAAACTTATTGATAACTCATTTGTTAAAAATAAATATTTTATTATTATTTGCCAACTTAACAGCTAGATATAAAATATATCGTGAAAATTAAAAGAAGCCTTAAGTCATAACTGAACTTGCTTGCTTTTGATGATTTTTCTATTTTTAATGTGCTGAACTACCGACATTTCTACTGCTTTTGCTTGCGCAGTCGTCGCCTCTGCTGCAGTGACTGCCACTTATGTTAGCAGATTATTGTTGTTGTTGTCATTCATTGATTTTTCAACGTTCTTTGCCGTGTGAAGGCACACTTTAGCAACACGCTACGCATTAAAAACAATTAAATATTTAATAATATTATGAATGCACTATGTAATCTTGATGTTGAAAACGGCAAAGGGATAAATCTAATTGTACAAATGCAATGGAAGAAATGAGCTGTTGAGAATCCCCTGTTATTCCAATGACATAAACTGTGCCTTTGCTAATATGCAGGTGTGTGCGACTACGTAACGTTGGTGTGTTTATGTGCCGGAAAATTGTGCTTTTTTTATTCGAAAATTTCATTCATATTAACTTTGAGTTTTGATTCTGTGAATGGTTTCGCACACATTTTGTGGAAAATTGCAGAAATTTATGAATTCGTGTCGGGAAATTAAACACCCTTCAAAAATCCGTACTTGATTGCCGCAAAATTGTAATTTATAATTCTAATCAAAAAACTATATCACATCGCAAATAAGTAATTTTAATGCTTTTAACTTGCAATAAACGTGTGCACTTCTCCTCGCCTACAGTTTTTGCCTTTGTGTCGCGTTGGTACACATGTTCAAAAGTACGAACATACGTATTTATCTGTGTACTCACGTCCATATATTTAACAACTGATATTAAATATGTATATACTAGCACTTGTACATACCTGTGTTTATATGTGTGTAAATTTAGTTAATTTATTTGTACGGGTAAAAAGTAGATAATACAAGTCAGAGAATAACTCTTGTCAGCAGTTGTTCGCCTTCTTATTGCACTTAAATATATGTATACATATGTATATCTACATATGAATATTTCATATACATATGTATATGTATGCGTTCATAAGCTCAAAAGAGAAATATTATTTTTATAATAATATGTGATATTTTATCAAGTGTTGAGGTACAGAGGCTCTCACGGTTATAATAAAACTATAACAGTGTGGGATTGAAAAAAAGCAATAAACTGAGTTTTTTTTATAAATGTAGATAAAATGTTATTTTGTGTTAACCGGCATTTCATTAAATATGCTATGTATATATGTGTTAATTGATATATGTGCATAATAATTATATATGTACATATTAAATATTATGAATTTATATATACTTTTGAGTAAAGGTGTATTATTATAAGCGGCACTTGTAAAGTTAAAATATATAATAATAAATATAAAAGATGAATACATGAAGTTTTTAGTTCCGCAGCTAAATAATATTACAAATAAACATTTTTTATCAAAAATATTTAAAAAGAACGTTGCATACAATACACCATGCATTTAAAATAATATATTACCTGAATTAAATCTATATACATATGTACATACATGTCTATAATAAATATAGCTATGTCTAATTTAAAATCTTAATGTTGTATTGTTTTATAAATGATTCATTCTAATGAAAATAAATTAAACAACTCGTGCTTAGAGTTATTAAAAAATGTTTTATAAATAATTTATTATAGTTGAAAATAAATTAAACCAATCGTGCTTAAAGTTATGGCATTTAAATGAAATATTTTCAATTGCATACTACGTTTATAAATTAAATATAAATAGCTATATAAGCTAATTACTTTTATTTGAAAATTAGTAAAGGATCACAATTTAATAATTTAATAAAATTCAATCCTAAATTTAATATAGTATTAAGTTTGAAATCTGAAATAAAAGTTTTCCAAAGTTTTTTGAGAAGTTGTAATTTTTAGTTTAAAATATTGTTTTGGAAATTAAGTGGTTAGTTAGAAATTAAAAACTAGCTTAAGGCTAATTTTTTAGATGAACATTTTTTTGTATAAAATAACACATGCTTTCAAAGAATTATTTTTGACTAAACTTCCAATTAGGTCACCCCCGATTTTCTTCAATATTTATACAGAGGTTTCTCTTGTGTTTAAAACAATTTCGCATGTGTCTGTTTTGTGAGGAATTTAAAAAAAGTGAGAATTTCAATACCCCACGAGCCGTTTTTTTTAATATTTTTCCAAAATATATTTCTCAAAAAAATTTTTATTTTAAATATAGATAATTTTGTTATTTTTGTTAGCATGTCCTTAGTTATTTTACAAGCAATTCGTTTCTGCATTTGACCGGCGAAAAAAGATATCGTTTAAAAGTTTGTCCAGATTAAAGATCCTTTGCCTCGGTTTAATTATTATAGTTGTAGGATAAAAAAATATATTTCTTTAACAGAAAAGTTGTTTTTAAATGAAGAAAACTTTTTCCGACTTTTTTAATTTTCGCTAAAAAAGACATATGGGTTCTTGTCTTTAATAATAATAACAAATTAAATTATAAAAATATAAAAAAAAAACTTACGCATGTTTGTTTGTGTACTTACATATATTGATGTGCTTTACATTACTTTCTGTTTATTTACTGACATTTTGTAATACGCTTTAAATAAGCGAACATAAAACTTGAGATATTTGGCCTACATTTCACTGCCTACCTTTTTTGTTGTTTTGAAATTCTAGAACATATTGTAAATACCAATTAGTAATACATTTGTGCATAGACACTTTTATATACGTATGTATGTATTTGCATATAAATGCATTGGAGAAATATAGAAGCCATATGCTGTGGCGCTCATTTCGGAAGCAAATACATACATATTTATATAAATAATTAGTTTACAAAATAACTAAAAGAAAATAAATGGAGACAAAAATTTGAAACACAATTATTAATCCAAACTTTCATGCTATAGATAATAAAAATTAAAAAAAAATAATTTAATAATAATTTCAAATATTTATAAAAAAAAAATAAATAGATAAAAAATGTTAATAAAAATTTATTAAAAAAGAAAAATAATTAATTAAAAATACTATTAAAAAATATGCACAAATAAATACAAAAGTATTTGTTGCATATAACTTGCATATTGTTAAAATACAATAACTTGTCTGTTTATATAACTTCCATGTGTCCCCAAATAATTTTATATATTTGTTTATATTTCTTTTCAGCACCCTGTGTGATAATGTCTTTGACCGGCTGTCCTTATAATCACTTAATTTGTGTGCATCAAAAAATCCTTTGAATGAAAACATAACAACATACATAATTAGTGTTTAAAATATTGTGCTAATATTAAGTAAAACCCAAACTAACCTAACAATTTCGAAACGTGTTTAAAAACGCAACAACAAATATTTAAAGCATCCATATATTAAAAAATCTTGTATATATATCTTTAAAATATTTTAAATTCTTTACATCTATACATACATACCTACTTAAATAAAAGGTACTTAACTTTAATCCCTCCCATTATATAAGCAACTAACCAGTAACTAACTAGCTTGCTGCTTGAAACAGATTCAATGTGCTTGTATTTACAAATTCAAGTATTACATAAAACATAAATTTTAATATAATAAAAATAAATAAAAGGTTCAAAATTGTAAAAATATATGCAAATCGATATATCTTTGCACGACGACCTACATAATAAATACTAAATATATTTATAATAATAAACGCAATTACTTAATCGCAACATTTAAATGTGTTATTAGTGCTTGCAAATAAATTAGTCCAACATATGCGTACTAAAAACGCTCCCACCACTTAATATCAAATCACTTAATCAATCAATCAACGCTTAATTAACTAACGCTGACAGCTTAAGCGTGTCATATACATACATATTACATAATTTCTGTAAAGTACTGTAAAAAAAAGAAATCACGAAAAAAACAGCTCAAACCTAATTTTCGTTTAAAGTGTCTATCGAAATCAAATCTCTGTTGTACGTCCTTGCATCCATCCAGCTATCAAACCCCTTGCATTTCAAATGTATTTATGTAATAATATGTAACATATGTTGTGCATTATGTGTGACCCAAATAAATTCAAATTGAAAAGTGTAACCTAATTCCAATTTTATTATTTAGTGTGTCACAAAAAAATTAAAAATTAAAATAATAAAAAAAAATTATTTAATTCAAATATTCGATATATTTGGATTTGTGCAATATCGGTATTTCTGTGCTTAAAATACTCAAACAAAAATTTTGTGTGTGTGTCGTGTAAACTAAATCAAACTGTTCTAAATACTAAATTAATAATAAAACTGACAAAATGGCGGACATAATACGTCCGCCGTTTAGTGATATTAAGCGGCCAGACGAGATCGTCAGGATGACCACCGCCGACAATTTGAAGTTCGCCGTACTCATCGGGCTGATCGAGGTTGGTCAGGTGACCAATCGGGAGGTCGTCAACACTGTTTTACATTTGGTAAGTGTATGCTGTATTTTTTGGTTAATTAGAATTAAGAGATTTTCTGAAAAATTTAAATTATTAATGTTGGAAAATTTAGAAAAGAACAAATAATAATTATCTCAGTCAGGCTTCTGTGATATTTTATAAATTAGCTTGATTTTTTAAAGTTTATGTGTAATATATGTCTTTCAAAAATATCATTACGAGTATATTACAAGTTGATTTAAAGATATTTTGTGTTCAAAAAAAGGCCGTAGACAACAATAGACTTAAGCAACGAACTAGATTTTATTTTTAATTAAAAACAAGCAAAAACGTCCATTTCAACTGCAACGAAACTATACTACCCTTCACAGGTGTATTTCTTATAGTATGAAGGAGTATATAAAGATCTTTAGCTTGATTTTGAGCGATCAGTTTGTATGGTAGCTATATGCTATATTGGTCCGATCTGACTAATATGAAGATAATTTCCTTAATTAAAAAGGTTTCCATACGAAGGCTTGATTTGTATGGTAGCTATATGCTACAGTGGTCTGATCTAAACAAGTTGTTCGGATACTATAGCGCTGCCTTGGATTATAATCTGTGCCAGATTTCGTACAGATATCTAGTCCAATAGAAAAGTTTTCTTTTGAAAGACTAGATTATCGGCGATTGAGGGACTTGTACGCATATCTACAGACAGACCGGACGATATACAGACAAACCGACTCAACTCGTCACGCTGATCGTCTAATCTAAAATCTATGAAAAAGCTTTACACAAAAGTAAATTTTTATTTCATTTAAGTAATATTTTCTAATCGGATATTAGGTTTAGGTGCTATTGAAGCGTTTACTGTAAGTGTTTTGTTGAAATTTTAAAATATATATATACTTCTAATTTTATTAGATTGTTTATTTTTTGAAATCAAAATACAGTCTCTCAGAATAGCACTAAGACCTTTCACACATAACTTCTTCGTTCAAAATAGAATTTTCTACATCCCTGATAAGATTCTTAGAACATTGTCACTATCTTTGATCTGCTCCTTGGTAAAAAGTTTAAGCCTAAGAAAATAATTTCCTTTCGGGTCGAGTTCAAGAATGTGTATGTTCTGAAGTAATCTCTCATACGTTCAGAGGTGGTTTGAAACTGTATAACAGTGCTGCCAGAAATGAAGATTTTCTGTTAAAATTAATATATATTCAAAAGTATCGATATAAGTAATTTGGAGAGCCGAAGACAGCACCCGCAGATTTTCTAAAATACAACATGGTGTATTTTTTTTTTGTTTTTCTACTACCTTGTCGAATGAGTTCTTCCCTATTATATCTCTATTTGACTTAAGAGGGTATTCTAGTCTAGCAATAAAATAAATAAATATTTATATATTTTCGAAGTTTAAATATTCAGGAATATATCGAACAGAGGATTTTTCAAAATTCAAATTATTTTTGGAGATATAGGTAGTTTGCTGACCCCGCATTTAAACTGTTTCGGCCGGAATCGAAACCTCAAACGCGTTTTTCTTGAAACTTTTTTTTCAAAACGATACCCACGATTTCTCAGGTTGTACTTGACATATTTAACTGACATTTTAGGAGAGTCTTTTTAAAGATCTATCTATGTCTGGAATTTTCCAAATCGTCAAGTTTTTAATATTCTTAAAAAATTTAAAAAATTCCAAAAAAGAGGTACAAACATTTTTTTTGTTCAGGCAGCCGCTGTTTCGTGAAAAAAACTTTTTTCCAAATTTTCCGTAGTTCCAGACATTACAAAATCATTTTTGATTAAAATTTTTTTTGGTTTGAGATTGCAAGGAGTGTTGAAATCGTGGATATGATCTGCCAATTTTTTGACACCCTCCACTTCATTAGCTGCTAATTTTGAAACTTTTTTATTTTGTGATTTTTTCCTGTAGTCTTGTAATTTTAATAAATAACTGTTAAAAAATGGATAGTTAAAGGCAAATAATAGCCTTTTTTACGACACTTCCAAAATTACCCGAAATTCATGGCTCTAGACTAGAATACACCCTTAAGAGGTTATATCCACTTGCAAGTCGGAAAAACGCGTGTTTTGTGCATTTTTTGAAGAGATTTTTTTATCTAATATATAAATATAAAAATGTACATTTGCGGAATTTAATAGACTTTATTGATTAAAATTTGATTTTTCAAAAATTTTGGGATTTCGTTGTTCCCGTAGGAGAACTCCAGTAGAACATACGATGAAAGGTGTCTGGCGTTGAAGAAAATTTTTCTGCTTAAAAATATCTCAAGTCCGAAATCCAAAAAAAATATATATATATATATTATCACTATAATGACTACATGTAATGATCGTAGGACTAGTCATAATTTTGACTTTTGACAAAATGGTGGCTTTAAAAATAGTAATTTTTTTTGACAAAATTTACATTTCAGAGTGGCTTGAAAATCGAAAATATTCTTATAAATACGCTCATGTCTCCGAAACTATTTGCGGGATCACATCAAATTTTCGGAGAATATTCTCAAATAATAAATCAATTTTAACAAATAAGGCATCATAAGGAAATTAAAAATGTAAAATATGTATTTTATAACCTTCTACTATTTGAAGCCACATTTAGTTAAGCAGAAATGCCAATTATATGTTATTGTGACTGAAACTAAAATCTACATTAAATGTCCGCGACGAATCCTGCTGCTAAACTAGTTTTGTGGACAAGTGTATTTTTGCCATTCCGTCGAGCCAAAAATTCATTATTTGTTTTATCGTAAGTATGGATGTATGTATTTACATTTGCGTGGATATTTACGCAGCCAAAAGGGATGTACTTGTGCAAATGCCAGTTTCACTTTCAATTAAATTGAAAAACTCGATTGGCAAACAAGTTTAACAACGAAATTCCAGAGTCAGCCAGACAAACAAGTACGTGCACAACCTGAGGGAACCAGTTACATACACGCGTATGTATCACATGTACTAAGCACGAATAGGAATTGTGGTTGAAATACACTTGCATATTTAATGTTTTTAAGTACCATATATAAATATGTACATACATACTCAAATAAAAAAAATATAAATTAATATATTATACCAATATGAACGGCGTTGAAAAGTATTTACTTTTTTACTTTCAAGTAAATTTTTGCCCGTATGCCTGTTTTGGATTTGCCAAACTTTAAATAGTGGCGGAAAGAACAAACTGCTATAAATGAAATAGACTTGCATAATCAAAATGAGTTCAAATAGCAAGCGGTTATAGCATTTTTATGAGGTATCCATCTCTATTCCATTGATTGTAACTGGATAATTTTGTTGCTGCTTTAAAATAGAACTTCTTTAATAGAGAAAGGAGCTCAAAAAAGTTTAACAGTTATATTTTTTCAGTTTCATTTTGGTATAAACCCTTATTTATAAATATGAAAAAATCTGGACTCATTCGAACAGTTTTGCCTTCTTGCATGTATATACTGCATAGTTTTGTAAACCTAGATCAGCTGTCAAAAAATCAAAAAACTCAGTCATATTTCTTTACTAATTTGTACTGTTATAATTATTAAAGAAAAAAAAATTACAATATTCAATAAAAAGTCACTTTTCGCAGAGTAAGTAAAAAACATAATAAAGTGTCTGAATATTTCCCTCATTACCATAAAACTAGCGCATTTGCATATATGGTTTTATACCATATGCACGTGATCATTTCATATTGTGTATATACTATAATCGATACGCATATATTTATATTCAGCAGTGCACTGGATTTTTCGACATTTATAGAAAATCTATTTTTATAACATTTTGCACATTAGCCTATAAATCAGCGCATAAATTTGCACTAAAAGTTCTTCCAAATAAAAATGAGAAACATTACTATGAAATAAATATGCAAAAATATGCTGCAATTTATAGTTTAAAAATAGTATTGGCAAGTAAACACAAGAAAAAAACGGTTACTTCGGTAGCACCTAAGCTAGAACACCCTTCATAAATAAAAAAAATGTTCATACAAGAACTGGACTCCGATTGATCAGTTTGTATGACAGCTATATACAATAGTGTTCCGCTCAGAACAATTTTTCGAAGATTGTATTGTTGCCTTAGACAATAGTCCATGCCAAATTTCGTGTAGATATCTAGTGCAATGAAAAAGTTTTTCATACAAATACTTGATTCCGATCGTTCCGTTTGTATGACAGCTGTATGCTATAGTGGTCAGATATCGGCGGTTCTGACAAATAAGCAGCTTTTTAGGGAGAAAAGGACGTGTGAAAAACTACAGTTTGATATCTTAAAAATTGCGGGACTAGTTCGCGTATATACAGACAGATAGACTTTTTTTCTGGTTGTTATAAACTTCGTGACAAACTTAATATATCCTGTTCAGGGTATAAAGAGCTAAGTTGTACGGGAAGTTGAACATATGTTTTTTAGCCCGTACACAATCAGAGGGAATATGTAGTACTATTATATAATTAATATATAGAATTATTCAAGTTAACCGGCAAAAGTGTCGCTTCAAATATTAGATGTCACTTAAAGCTTACATTGAAAATGACTTCAAAGTAAAAATTAAACAATTGTTAAGTGACACCTCTCAAAGGCAGCTAAGTATGCCTAATTGAGATTAGATGTCTCTGATAGTCAAATTAGAGCCTACAATGTTAATACTAAATAGTGTTTGAAAATCATAGACAGTTTTCGTGTCAAAATTGTTTTCTAAAGTTGAGTATTTCTGGTCGAGCAGCAAGCGTTAAAATAAAATAGTTTTAAAACATTCTTTCTGTATTGATTTCAAAACATCACCCAAGATGTTGTAGTCACGAACTCAATTTTCAATTTCCACGACAACAGATAGGAAAATATTTTTTTCAATTATTAATTTTTTATTAGTGTTTAACAGAAGATGCGTTTCTTTGTAAGCGAGTGCGGAAAGAAGGTTGAACTTGATTGAATTTTTTCTGGATGTATTTAACAACACTGAAAATGTTTTATCTATCAATTTCATTTGTAGTATTTTTATTGAAGCTTTTGTA